ACCAAACCAGCCTGCCACTGTGTCGCCGGCCTTGGCCCAGATGTAGGAAGTGAACTGGTTGGCTGGTTTGCTCCTTCGCTTATTTGTTATGAGTAGTAAATAGGTGAGAACTCACGTCAGCCTTTGAATAAAAACAGCTCATGCTATTATTGAAATGGGAAAATCAGGTTATAAAGCTTTCCCTCGTTTTTCTAGGCAAACCATAATTCATTTGGGCGTTTGGTTTTATATGACGCTGTACTGTATAGAGATGATGCTAATCTCCACCAGCTGAGCCTGCAAAGCTCCTTCCTCTACTCCCATAGAGAAAGCAAGACTTGAAAAAACAAGAGTAGTCAATTCCAGCATGGCTTCCTCAGTTTGTTAACATTCTTTAAAAACTCCTTTGTTTTCATCTCAACTAAGGAAACAATTCTAAACTGATGCTTTTACAATTCAGTGTTTTCAAACACTCCCTGTGATCTTGGGAGATCTGAAACTGTTATGCCTCATGAAAGCTTTGCTTCCAGAAGACCAAATTTTCTGCAATTTACAAGAATTAGCAATCCACAAGATGCCCCCAGTGCTCAAAACAGAGCCACTTAAAATCACTAGTCTCATTAGGAATGGCTAGAACATCTTGATGGCACTCCTTCATTACACCAATGTTAAATTTCATTAAAGGACATTGAAACAACTTTGGCACACTTTCTCCTAGTAAGTGGTTACTGTAAGTCCTCACAGAAGGGGAAGGATATGTAAATCACCTAGAACAGAGGAAAGGCCTCTACAGTATAGCTGGTTGGAACCTGATAATCACCCATCACTTGTTTACTCTTGCTTTTAGGGAGTGCAAGGACTGCAATCTTTCTCAATGCTTCTTTCTTTCTAAGTCTTACCACCTCTAAATTTAGCACACTTCCATCTTTCTGGGATTTCAATAAAAATGGTCAATCAGTAATTTTACCTATTGCACCTTTGCATATTAAGGATATTCTTATCCTTGGTTGCCCTATTAGATAAGGACTGACTATTCTCTGTCTTTCTCTCCTGGGCAGGTTACATCTAATTAAAAGCAGTTCCCTCCTTTTACTCCTTCTGCACACATACATATGATCCAGATGTCAGCACTGGTAATTTCAGCAACAGCTCACAAAGATTTGGATAAAACTTGCTGGTTTTTTTGTTTGTTTGTTTGTTTTTGTCCCTCCAGGGGAGGCAGGGAGCCAAAGTTCCAACAGAGCAAAGTAAAATTAAAAGTAGATCATTTTTTTTCTGTCTCAAAGGCATGCACTATAGTATATAATGTATGTTCCCTGCTTCACAAAGGAAATGAAAGAATGAACTTACACAATTGATGAAATAAAGATATCAAAGTATTACTTGTCCCAACTGATATGTACACTTCACATATAATTACTATTTAATATCTTTGTTTCCTACAAAGCAGAAAAAAGCTTACCCTCTCTCCCCATTCCCTCTTCTTGTAAATAAGCTGATGCAGAATCTTCTAGATTTGCAGTTTCTACTTGACTTTCCTTTTGAATTTATTCTCGTCTTTGCAAAGTGATGTGGTCCACAACATGAAGCTATTTAAAATCCTAAATGAATAAGTGTTATAAAAATAATAAATTAGTATACAAGACTGACTTGCACAAAACATATGTTACACTCTGAAATATATTTAGACGAGAGTACATAATTGCCTGTTCCTTTTCTAATGGCCTGAAGCACAGCACTAAATCTGAACTTTTCGCAAAGCTTATGCAGTGAGGGAGTGCCGCCCCCTCCCTGGTTCCCGACTGAGATCAGGTCCCCATCGCCTTTCATGTGCTGCCTGCAGGAGTGACAGCCTGCTGCAGTAGCCTCAATAAACCTCAACTGCCCCCTGACCATGGGAACTAAGCAGCAGCGGCAGCGAAGGGAAAAATGGAAGAGAGAGCAGTGGAAGTGCTGGTCAGGGTGAAGGGCAGCAAGCCTAGGAGACCACACGGTGAGCACTTCCAGTTCCCTGTGGGTGGGGGGTGTAGGTCCTGCCACGCCAGCCTCCGACCTGAGCACAAAACGCATGTTAATCCCTGGAATTCCATTCCCTCAGTACTGGAATAAGCCCAGTGACGCTCTGGCTCTGCCTAGCTTCCCACCAGCCAGAGCAGGGGCCCAGGAGCCCTGCTTCAGCTCAGCCCATGGCCCTCATCACCTCCCTGAGCTGCACTGCAGGAGTGCTGGTCTCCAGCCCTGCCTCTGCCTCCAGCAAGGACCTCAGACCTGCGCTGCTGGCAGCTGTCTCCTGGACGGGCTCCTTAGACATCCCTGGTCATATGTCTCCAGCTCAGTCCCCTGCTGCTCCTGATGGGACCCTCAGCCCAGGTTCATCCCTTTGCATTGCCTAGAGCTGTCAACAGACCCCTACCAGCAGCTTCTGTAGGAGGAGAGAGATGAGGCTCTTGGTCATGTTGCGGGTCCACAACCACAGACAATATGAATACAACTCACTCGAGTCTCACAGAAGTTAACAACCAGACAACCATTCACACTGTAACACTGAGCCTTCCAATTATTCCTCAAAAAAAAACCCACCCCAAAACCAAAATCATCTTTATTTGAATGTGTTTACAGATTCTGTTACCTTTACATTTTTTCTTTTTTTTTTCGCCCCAAAATTACAGGTTTCAACAGAAAAACTGTTTATATTACTTTCCAGTCCAGCTTCTCCCAAAACACTGGTTGGCTTGGAGTTGCACAGTATTTCACATTGGTGTGCTTGTAATGTTAACGGAAAAGGGAAGCAGCTTTCTTCAACTTTTCAGGAAGCTGGACTTCTCCTTCCACAAATGGAGCCTGTTCCCTCTGAAGCAAAGTAACCAGCAGCAGCCCACACGCACATCAAAACGAGGAGGGGCTTTCAACAGAATATAAACAATTCCTCCTGGCAAGTTCATTAATTGACATGTAGCTCCCATGGTAACAGTGAGGTTGTTCTCAGAGGTACTCACGTTAAATAATTATGTGGCAAAGTTGGACCTTCATTAATGCTAAGGAACTACACAAATTCCTTCACCCAGAAACTAAAGCATTCTAAAAACTACCTTTTACCTTCACCCTAAGTGTCCAAAGACAACGACCAATAAAAAACTATACTTGGCAAGTGAGGTGAATCTTTCTGTTATGAAAGCATTGAAATAGACTCTTAACATTTCCAAGGCTAGAGCTACACAGCAGCAAAATCCAGTGTGCAGCTGCTGGGAGGCCATGGCAGAGGGTCAACCTGGCAAGCACCGGGTGGGAGCTGACTTTGTATAAGGGGCTCTGTATTTCTGAAAGCTCAGCAGCAGAGTTTTCCTCTAAATATGCAAGCAGGCACTGGATTTTCCCTTCAAGAAACTGGCGGTGAAATCAGAACGAAAACCCATGGCAAAAAAAAAGCCACTTTCCAACAAAACAAATGTGTGAAAATACAGTCACAGCTCAGCATCATTTTTCTGTGTTGAGACCTAAACCAGAAGAAGGTTGAGAGCCTTGGATGGACTGCTTCCAGGGAAATTAAGGCCTTTTTTAGTACTGAGCACTGCATATAGGATTTTGTTTTCTGTATATGCTGTTTCTCTGATATTTTTTTCTCCTGTTCAGTTTTCCTATCTGTCCAAAGGTGTTTTGTAGAGCACTAGTGATTCCAGTGGTATAACCAGATAAGTAACTGAGTTATTGTCTTTATGAAGCACAGATCCCTTTGTAATAAATGTACTTTGTAGCTTGATTTACAGCAAAATCCTCCTCCTCTTACTTCCCTGATGAGACCTACTTAACTCAGTGAGACTAGTCATGATGATAAGATAATTAAGTTTTTAGTACAACTCTGGTTAGTGAGCAGAATGCAGTTCTGAAATAATGAACCTACTAGCTGCAGTCTGATATTCAAAAGGTGTTGATGATTTCAGTATTATTCTTAATGTGCTCTGAGAAAAGTACTTTTTACATTAAAGCTGAAAACCCTGTATAGGACACAATTCAAATCACCTTTTAAATTAAACAATTGCTTTTAGAATGGCAAAGTTGAAGTTCAGCCCGCATAGCAGTGACACCTGCAAACTGACACTCAAACCTCCCTACTTTAAAATGGAAAGATTTACATGAATGTGTTTTAAAATGACAGGAGACATGAATGGGAGCTTCTAAGAATGTTAGACTAAAATTTTAAGAGCGAAATGCCTAAAAATAGGCCCCTGAATGTATAGTTAGGCACCTATATAGAGGCTGCTTGATTTTCAGTTGTTCTGATCTCCCAGAGCTCCCATTAACTTCAGGAGCAACTGTGGATACTCAGCTGTTCTAGAAATCAAGCCACATTTATTCAAGGATCTAAATATGGATGTCTGTGCCCAACTTTGGGGGAAAAAAAATAAATAAAAAAAGAGGGTTCTTTTGCTACAGAGACATTTTATGAAAGAAAGTAATAGCCAAGTTTCATTTTCGCAGGTTACACTGCTTGAAACTGAATCAACATAACAATTAATAGTGCTACACATCTGTGGCAGAACATTTTGTCTGGGATGAATGGAAAGCTATCCCAAGATCTGTAGCTCTTAATTAGCAACTGAAACATTCCACAGATATTTCATACCCTGGGACTGCAAAGTGTTACCAGGCCACCTAAATCTTTTTCATAGGATTTCAGTGTTACCATTAATAAGGTTTTCAGGCTGGTCTGAGGAAGACTTTGCAAGATTAACTTTGCAAATCTGTAAGTATTAACTATTTAACTATTTCAGAATTACCATTTTTTCTGCTTTTGGATCAAGTACAACCAGCAGACTTGAGCATATTTTTAAATACTACAAAATATGAAGAAGGGAGAATTAGGCCTTTAATTCTCTCATATGCACTTGGTTGTCAGAAGACTTCAGAATGCTGTTTGCTTAAAGATCTCTTTTGTAGAAGTAATCCTGAGTTGATTTTGTGTCTAAGCCATTGCCA